TGTCATGACTGGGGTCATTATCCCGATGGTAATCGCTGCTCCTGGAAGTGGCTGGCATGTCTGTGTAGCCCCTGAGAAAGGCAGAGCAGGGGATCGCTACATACTGTCCTTGCCTTCAGACACCGCTCCTGCAGTGCCCATTGATCAATAACGGGGAACTGTGGCCAGTAGAAACTGTAGGCTCAGTGCCTGTAGATGAGGGGCAGCACATGGCGCCATGGAGCCACTGCTATACATGCCAGCTGTTTTCAGGAGTAAGTCTGCCTTAACCCCACTATTCCACCACGTAGAAGTTAAACGGTGCCCAGCCACAGCCAGCTTCCTAAACCCGTCTTTGTCCTGAACCTCCTCCTGCACCCAACCTCCTGCCCCGATGTGAGTCTCAGTGCCTGTAGATGAGGGGCAGCACATGGCGCCATGGAGCCACTGCTATACATGCCAGCTGTTTTCAGGAGTAAGTCTGCCTTAACCCCACTATTCCACCACGTAGAAGTTAAACGGTGCCCAGCCACAGCCAGCTTCCTAAACCCGTCTTTGTCCTGAACCTCCTCCTGCACCCAACCTCCTGCCCCGATGTGAGTCTCCCTGCACTCAAACTCCTTCCCAGAGCCTGCACCATGAAACTCCTCCTGGACTAATTCCCCCACCCTAGTCTAAGCCCAGAGCCCCTCTCACACTCCAAAGTGGGGCAAGGGTATTTAGGTTTGAGGTAGATATCACATTGCACTGCAACTGAAAAAGTGATCTTGTGGTTAAAAAGGCTGGAGACCCTGCTTTAAGGTATCACCTATATTCAGATTTTTTTTAACTATTTGTTAAATATTTATTTAATAGTTAGCATTAAGAATGGTGGAAGTCTGTAGAGAATTTGTCTTTTTTTTCTAAATATTCCTATCTTCTTTCCTTTATCCTCACAGAAGAATTCTATTTTTTACCAGAAAAAATCATCCAAAAATGACATCAGTGCTGCTCCATGAGTCAGTTGCTTTATCCTCTCTTGGTGAAAAAAAAGAATTGTGTTTAAATAATCTCCACAAACACAACATGGATCAGGCCCTAATTCAACATTCTGTTCCTATTCAGCAAAACTCCTAAAGCATGTGCGTAAATTCCACTGACTTCTATGTGCTTGAACTTCACCACATGCTTAGGTTCTTTGTTAAGCAGGGCTATGTTTAGGCATAGAATCATACGGCTAGAAGACACCACAAGGGTCATCTAGTCTAACTCTTTAAATGCTTTATCAAACAGAAGCTCAAATTGTTTTCTATATCTTCCTCTTCAGCTCGGTGGTATTATAAATAACAAAATCCATATTTCCAAAGGTGATTTGTAATTTTTGAATGGCTCGATTTTTGAGTGACCAACTTTAAACTCCTATAGCCTTATCTACAGAAGTACTAAGCATCTGCACCTCTTAATGATTTCAAAGGGAGCTGTGGGTACTTAGCACAGCAATTTCTGAAATTGTGAATGGCTGGTTTTACCACATATACTTGGAGTGCACAATTAAAAACACAAAGCACATTATTTTATGTCATTTGCTACAATAAAGTCAGAAGACCCAAAATAATGCCAACTTAAGTAATAATAGGCCTGAACTTATCTGGTATACGTTAACTCTATTGAAGCCATAATATCAACTGAGGATCTAGATCATTATATTTACAGTTAGGCCTTCCTTCTGCAAGGCATGTGCCCACTAATTTTAAGTATCTAGATAATCCATTGATTTCAATAGGATTACTTGCATACTTGAAATTAGGCATAGGTTTAAGTATACATTGTTGAAATGGGATCTTAGATTTTATAGAAGATTGCATATAAATTGTATCCCAAAATATCTTTCATCTAGTAATCAAATGTTAAAAAATAATGGCAGACAGGGAAATATTTTACAAGAGATTTGAAAAAAGTGGAAAGCTGATAAGATAGAATAGAAGAAAGCAACTACAGCTGAGGCTACAAAAGAGAAAGTTTTATCACTGTTGTTATGAGAACCAACTGAGAAAAGAAAGACAGTGCTTTGTGACTGACAAAGGGAAAGGAGTAGATAGCTTCCGTGAGGCAGACTATCGTGGATTTAAAGAAAGTATTGCAATTTTGAACTGGAAAATTAATATAATGAACAAATAGATGTGTTTGAAGATGGCGATGTGGTCATTCTTCTCAGGGTGTGTTAAGGTCACCTAAAAGTCAGCCACTACTAGATAACAAACATCACTTTGTCTATACTAATTGCTATATGTTTTCAGTTGAAACTCTCTCTTCCAATTCTTTGCTATTATTTTACTATAGTAAATTGCCTAAATGAAATAATTATAAATACATGTTCTGATAATGAATAGGCACCTAGCCAGCTGCAATCAATAACACAATCACTTATTCACTAATTGTACACATCCTATTAAGTTTGTCAACTGATCCTCGCCAACTCCACCTAGCTCAAGAGTGGGCAATAAAATAGTGGTAGTTCCCCATGGTTAGCCCCTGGCAGACTGTTGCCAGCATATTTACCTGTGCCTCTGCAGATACAAGTATCAGAGGGGTAGCCGTGTTAGTCTGAATCTGCAAAAGCGACGAGGAGTCCTGTGGCACCTTATAGACTAACTGAAGTGTAGGAGCATAAGCTTTCGTGGGCAAAGACCCACTTCGTCAGATGCATGTAGTGGAAATTTCCAGAGGCAGGAATAAATATGCAGGCCGGGATCAGGCTGGAGATGACGAGCAGATACAGGCGATTGCAATTTCCATTGGTCCTATATTG